AAAAAAAAAAAAAGGTCTTATGCAGCAGATTTACCTAATGCAATACATCTTTTGATCTCTTGGCTGCTTCCATGAGCATTGATTGTGAATCCAAGTAAGACAAAGTCCTTAACAACTTTACTTTTTTTCTCTATTTATCATGATGTTCACTATTGGTCCAGTTGTGAAGAATTGGGTCATCTTTGCATTAAATTATAATCCACACTGAAAAGGCTGCAATCCATGATTTCCCTCAGCGGAAGCTTCAAGTCCTCCTCACTTTCAGCAAGCAAGGCTGTGTCACTGCAGATCGCAGGTTGTTCATTAGCCTGCCTTCCAGCCTGATCCTGCACTCATCTTCATATTGCCCAGCGTCTCTGGTTATTTGCTCAGCATACGACTCACCAAGTGTGGTGAGCGAATACAACCCTGACGCACATCTTTCCTGATTTTAAACCATGCAGTATTCCCTTGTTTTGTTTGAAAAACTGCCTCTTGACCTATGTACAAGTTCCGCATGAGCACAATGGAGTGTTCGGGAATTCCCACTCTTGTCAAGGTTATTCATTGTTTGTTATGATCCACACCCTTGAGTGCTTTGGCATAGCCAGAAAAGCACGAGTAAATATCTTTCTGGTATTGCAGGCTCCATCTGAATGAGAAATTAATCCTGTTCCCTGCCCTTTTCTAAATGTGGCCTGAACCTCGGGTTGTTCTTGTCATTGTACTGCTGCAACCATTGTTGGATGATCTTCAATCATTTTTGCTTTTGCATGTGGTATCCATGGTACTGTTCTGTCGTTGGAGCATTCCATTGAGCCACCTTTCTTTAGAATGGGCACAAATAGGGATCTCTTCTAGTCAGCTGGCCAAGTAGATGTCTTCCAGATTTCCTGGCATAGATAAGTCCAGTACCAGTCCATGTCAGCTCACTAATGCCTAGGATAGCTATGCTTATGTGTTCCATTCCATTTTTGACCACTGTCCATTGCTGAGAGTCATACTTTGCACATTTCAAGTCCCAGTCGTTAGCAGGCTTTCGCAGCTGTTTCTTCTTACTTTGAGTGGTACCTCACGAGCAAATGAAGAGTCCAAAGGCTCCGCTGCCACAAGCTTTACTCCATTCTCATCAGCACGGCTGACTCCACTCTGAGAAGCAGCTCCTTCTCAGGCACAGTTTGAGTGCCCTCGGCCCTGCGGGACCCGTTCTGTGGCACTGTCTCCAACTATGTTCCGCTTCCATTCATTCGGTCTTTGGTATCTGACCATGTTTCAAAGCTGTGCATAAGGTTTTCAGCAGCTACTTCCTCTGAAGTGGGCAGCCACTTCCTTCTTTGTGATCTGTTCTTAGTCTGGAAGCGCCACTGCAACCTGTTCACTGTGGGTGACCCTGCCGGCCTTTGAAATGCTAGTGCCATCACTTCCCGCACCACAGCAACACACAAACCACCACAGTGGGCAAACTGACAGACAAGTGGGCTGTACTAAGTCATCACGTTGCCGCGGTTTCTCTTGGTTGGGAAAGTGCCTCAGGCTTTCCTTGTTGGTTTTGTTTTGTTCTTATTGTGGTACTAAAATGTGGGCTAACATAAAATTAACCGTTTAAGCTACTTTTGAATATCCAATTTAATGTTATGCAACTATCACCTCTTTCTGTTTCTAAAACTTCCTGACTCTGTGTGGAAATTCTGTAACTATTAAACGATAATCCCTCTTCCCCCAGTCCCTTGTAACCACAGACCTCTTGTCTGCTTCTATGGATTTGCTTATTTTAGAGGTTTCATGATAATTGCCCTTTCATTTTACGTAGCATAATGTTTTCAGGGCTCACCGTGAAATGGCATGTAGCAGGATTTCGTTTCACTTTATGGCAACGTGGTATTCGGTTGTCTTTATCTACTACATTTTACTTATGCATTCGTCCCTTTTGGCTGTTTTAGATAACGCTGTCACGAGCATATACAAGCATATGTTCGAGTCCAGTGAAGTGACCGGGTCACATGTGAATTCAGTGTTTAGATTTTTGAGGATTGTCAACATTTTCCGTCACTTTTACATTCCTACCAACAACAAGGGCTCTGATGTCCCATATCCTTGTCAACACTTGTTACTTTGCATTTGATAATAGGTGTTCTGTATGGGGGGCTATGTCATTGTGATTTCTCCAATAATTTTTTGCCAAATCCTTGCAAGGAATATATTCAGTTCATTATATTCCAGTAGCTGTCTGTCTGAGCTTACCACCTGCTCCCCTCACTCCTGCTGAATAGTTGGCAGTTTATAAAATTATAGCCTGCTCAAGAAAAGTAATAGTTAAGAGATGACAGTTCGTTTCTTTTGATATTTTGGTCAACTACAACTAACTTACATGTCTTCTGATTTTATACTTAAAATAAGGCCAAGACTTAATCTCTGAAAACATGCGTTCTGTGCAGGAGAAAACAGTGAGGCTACCTGTGCGACAAAGACACACGGTCAGGACGTCAACACTGAAGACCACGGGGTTCACCTCGAACCTGGAAACCAGAAAATGGAAACCAAACATCATAAAAGTGTGGGCTTTCATGGTTGTGAAAAAGAGCAAGAAGATGCAACAACAGAGCCAGCCAGTGCCGAGAAAACACCCAGGAACGAATCTCGGGACAGTTGTATGATTAAATATAATGTGTCTACCACCCCATACTTACAAAGGTAATCTTTCAGAATGCTCTGAGCTTCATTTTTATGCTTTTGGAGTAAGTATGGTATTTCTGATAGTAGGAAGGATTTGAAACAGATGTGATGTGATGAGGACATTTCCCCTTTGAAACACCGTATTACTCTCCTTTTCTCTAAATAGTGCCATTTTGAAAACTAACATTCACATGATTTTACTTTAGTCTCTTACTGTGTATTGCTAATATCAGCAGGATTGATTGTATTCTGCAGATACTTGTAGTCTACTTATTTCTACCATGTCCAGCTTCCTGGCCCCCTCCCTTTCTGTGAGACAAACTGCCAGTGGTTGCCATGTGCCCAATATAGTATGGTAACTGGAATGAAAGAACAAAGTCAAAGTTGTTCATACGTGCTTTTGAACTTTTTTTCAGTGTCAAAAACAAGATGTTGTTTGATGAAACCAATTCGATATTTAAAGAGCTCAAGTTTCTAACACCAGTGAGACGGTCCCGGCGGCTTCAAGAGAAGATCTCAAAGTTGCCAGAGATGCTGAAAGACCATTATCCTTGTGTGTCTTCATTAGAACAGTTAACCGAGTTGGGAAGCAACACCGATGCCTTCGTGTGCCGCCCGAATGCAGCCCTGGGCCCGATGGAGGCCACAGAGGAGAAGTCCAACTGATAAGGGACGATGGGCTTTTCTTCTTTTCCC